AGATTTTGTATCATCAAGAAAATAAAGATGCATCAAATATATTGATCAGTGTTCTGGTTATTAAGAATCACAGGCAGATCTAAGGAGGTGGGTTTTTAGCCTTGATTTAAAGGAACTCGTTGTTTTGACAGTTTATTCATTTTCTGAAAGTTTGTTCCAGATTAGAGGAGCATAAAAACTGAATGCTGCTTCTTCATGTTGGGTCCTGTTTTTTTTTCTATTACATCTTCAAGTGTGTTTTATGAGGATAGTATGTGAAAGACTAACATAAAATAGGAGGGAAAGGATGGAACGGCAAGTCTTATTAGTTTTGCAGTTGTGCGGTTTCCATTTTGCCGATAATGGATTGGATGCAGCTCTGTGAAATGTTCAAAGCTTTTGATATTGTTTTATGACCTAATCTTACTTTAAACTTCTTCACAACTTCCTCCTTGACCCGTCTGTTGTGTTCCTCCCTCTTCCTGACCAGATAACATTTGTTCACAATAAATATTCTCTTACATTACTCTCCTTAACCTTTGAGATGTCTTTTGATAACAGTTGCATTGGATTTTATTTAGGGATGTCAGAGTACAGAGGGGCTGACTACAAATGATTGCTGCTTTTCCAGATCACTTTTTTCTTTCCAGAGTGCTTAGATTGTCTGGAAAGCGCCTTTGTATTTTTGGTGACATGTAACTGCAATAGTTTTTTTTAAATTTTCTTATTTGAACGCTAAGCTAAAAGTTCTTCATGAAAACCGCTACTTTTGATGTAAAGTGTCACAGGTCTGTTAGACTTTTGACTTTGCTCCACTGATGGGAGGGAACTCCGATTTATCACTGAGTCTAGTTGCTAACAGATATTGTGATCATTCGGCTTATCTCCTTGGATGATTGCACAGTCTTAAAGGGAGTGCCGTAAACCCACCCTGTTCAACCTTTAGACCTTTTAGCTTAGCGTTGCAGTTTGGAAAAGAGATAAGTGCACAACTGTCCCATTCACCCTTCTGCCTGTCTGATTACACAGCCTGGTGTCACCAGTAGCCTCTCCGATTGTGTCTCTGTCAGTAAAAATGTATTTTCTCAACAATTTCAGTGAATAAACAAGTTTAGAGGAATTCAGGTTTAAATAAGTGATGATTCTATGATTTCATTGGTGTTATTTTGAGCTTCTCCTATGTCCAGTCTCAAAGCTAAAGCAGCCTGGAAGCTACTTGGTCTTTATGCACTTACACCTCTTGGGCCTAGTTCACTTGCAGCCAGATATCTGGAAAACCAGTACATATTTGTGTTTTGGCCTTTCATCTACACAAAAACGCTGTTTAATATCAACCAGTTGTTTATAAAAACTCCGACCAAAGTATAGTTTTGAGAAAACTGTGTATTTTTGTTTTTCGAGTGTACGTGTTAAAACGGAAATGTAGGATCCGACTCATTATAGTCTGCTACAAATAGTGTATATAAGTACATGCTTACTTTGACACAATTGACATCTTTTGTTTTATTACCGCTATATTCTAATGCGCTACGGCTGACTTGACTAATCTGATTAATTGTGATTAATCAATGAAATACTCATCAACTAATTTAGTAATTGATTAGACGTTAAGTGGAGTATACAGACTCAAAACAATGCCATTTGTTGAAATGTATTTAAAAAAAAAACGGCTTAAGTGGTTAAATGAAAAATTTGTAGAGTGCCATTTTTTATGTGTGCATCAGAATAATCAGTAGATTTATCGATTACTAAAATAATCATTAGTTGCAGACAGTCCTATAATATGGTACTTAAAACTAGTTCAACTTGTATATCCGTACACATCAAGGAATCTCCTGGCACCATGCTTAATTTCTAACAGGAAGTCAAGGTTGTTTTGAAACAACCTGATTGGCTGACACGTTGTAGCTTTGTGCTACACTGCCCCCTATATGTTTGACATGCTTAAAGCAACGCTCCGGGACGTATTTGTGCACGTTCATGTGAATGAAACCTTTTTTGAAAACGATCCCGTGTGCAAGATATTATTTTTTATAGCGATGTGGCAGAGAGATTCGGGGTTTTTTTTTTCTGAAGACTCGGCCACATGTGGACAAGTCCTTAGTCTCTTTTTTGTTTTTCTCTCATGCTCTCATTCTGGTTCACTTTTTGACGCCAGCGCTCCCTCCCTTCCTCTCGTCCTTCCTCCGTAATGAGGATGAAGATGTAATACGACAGCATAATTGTTTTATGTGCCACATTTGCTTAAGACGTGGAATTTAAAAACAGAACGGAAGAACTGCTACCTATGTAGCCGTGTGGCTAGTGGCTAGATGTTTTTATTTTTACCATTTTAATCACTTTTGGACACCCACCCGTCTTTGCAGGGAGCAAAGAGGAGACACTGTGTCTGATAACACAATCCCTCATTTGTTCGAGAGAGCTACTCAGCCATCCCGAGTCAAATCTAATTTCTCAGTTATCTGTGCTCGTCACTGCTGCCTTGAGGTATCGATCAGTCTCACACCCTGAAGCTGTCTGCCCACAGCGCTTCGGAATCCCTATTTTTATCTCTTTTCACCACTAGGATAAGGTGTCTAGTTCATCCATCGACACCTGTCCAACCTGGAAGGACGAATGATTGACGGGCATGATGATGGTGTGCACCATGTGCAGGGATTACAGGCTAGGGATTTACTTGCAGTGTTTTCCGAAAATATCCTGCATACCACTTAAACTTTTACACATCCAAAAGCTTCAGTGTACCAAAAGACAAATCCTACACCAACTAAAATCTCACCGTTTTTGTTTACATTTCATGTAGAAGGAAGTTGCGCTCATTACTTCTTGAGAGGTTTTCATATCGTTTCCTTCAGTGTTTGTTGGTGCAGCGCCACCACAGGTGAAGGGGGGGAACAGGTTTTTTTTTAAAGGGTTTGGTTAATTTGACACAGTGCACTGTGTCAAATTAACCGCACCAGAGAGGAAATGTAAGAAATGTTGGAACTTTGGTCCCCAAACAAACCCAGTCTACCGTACTATTGAGTTCAAAAACATCCTGTGTTAACAATTAAAATATGACTACAACATCTCATGGTGAAATTCAGCCACCTGGGATTCATACGTTTGCTGCTCTTCAAGCTTTCAGGCCTGGTTGCATATCTGTGGCTGGTACTGACCGCAGCAGAACAGCCATTGCCAGAACACACCCACATCCACAACCACGCAGAGATTCACAGCCTGAGACTTCCTGTAAGTTGGACTCTGATCACAGCCTGTTTGCTCTGTTGCTCCCTCTTCAGCCTCGGTAACACAACTAAATCCTCCTCTCCAACAAAAGTCTGGCCCCGCTTCCCCGTCGCTTTAACCTCCGCGCTCAATAAAACCCGAGCTTCTCAACCAGGCGGCGTCCAGCCTGAGGGCCCGTCCCCGCGTGTCGCTACCAGCTTTGTTCTAACCGCTACTCGGATATTTAACTTCTAAGGACGTTTTCTGCTGCTGAACACATCAGTTATCGCACTTAAGCAGAAGTGAGCGAGGTGACCACCCATCTAGTTGATGCGAAGCGCTTTATGTCGGGCTCTTTATTTACAATGTTTTGACAGCTTTGCTCAGACAATGATTTCTCTGTGGATAATCTGAGTTAAACAGCTTAGAGGACGAAGGGAAACTGGTGCACACTAAGGGATAGATGGGATGTACACGCCATCACATTTTGTTGGAGAAGGAACCGAAATGATCCTTTAATCCTGTCTCATCCTGATTAGAAATACAGAATTTTTTTATAAGAATAAAGTAATTGTAGTTATTAACAAGCACTATTGTTAAAAAAAAATAAAGTTCCCAACGTCACAATAGATTTGTAAATGTTTGTCTAGGATCAAATGTTTAACAGAAAGTCAATGCCTCATGTAAGCATGCTACCAGTTTTATCTTGGTTTTAATCTTATTATTAGATGTTATAAAGTTCAAAGCTTCCTCGAAACATTTTCTGATTTATTACATTATAGAACCGTTGCCAAGACTTATCTTTACAACATGCTCAATCTGTCGATTAAAACATGTCATAATTAAAAACGAAGGGTGTGGCTACACCAAGAACAAAGGGCCAGTGAGCACAATATGTATATCAAGAAAATATCACAGCTGTAGATTTTCTATTAAAAAAAAAACATCATTGTTGTAACTTAGCATGGTTAGTGAGACTTAATCCTTTTTAATTACTGTTGTTTTGATTGATTGTTTATTTTGGATATAGAAAATGTTCTCCAGTCTTAAGTGTTATTTAGAAATTAAAGTTTATTTTATATTTAAGTTAGTGGATGGACTTGCATTAACATGCGATTATTACTATAATTAGTTGAAAATTGTCTCAAAAGGATCAAATGATCATTTATCGCAATAATTTCTGGGGCAATTTATCGTCCAGAAAAATTTGTTGTGGTGACGGGCCTAATTAGCTGTAAGAATTTTTCCTAGAGGTTATTTCTCTGAATTGATCAATCCGGTCTGGTGAGCCGCTGCACATCATTTCTGTGGGCCAGCAGCTCCACCTTCATCACCCACGCTGCCTCCTGTCGAACCGACTCCAGCTGACCGAAGCAGCTGCGCCTCGCTCCAGGATCCGCGTCAGGTTTTATCACGGCCCGCCGTGACGGTGACCTGGACGGAAAGCTGCCTGACCCCATCTGCTCCACAGCCGGTTCACCTCCTCAAGTCATATTTCCTAATGAGTTTTACTCAACCGTTAGTATGACTCTGGGTCATAAATGGGTTTTATTATAAGCGATATCAGATTTTTTTGATGTGGCGCTGGTGTGATGTCGACTTTTGTTCATATCTTTTTATCTGCTCTCTGTTTCCTCGCCGCCTGAAAGGGTGTGCCGTTTTTTTTTTGTGTTTTTTTTTTGTTTTTTTGTTTTTTCTTTTCATCGTGCTGTTGTAAGTTAATCATTCCTAGCTCTTCCTTTGGTCCTGTTTCGCTTTGTTTTCTTATCCTGAGTCATGGAGCTTAACCTGAATTCAAACCTTGTGTGTTTCAGAAACTGGCAGCCGAATGTCAAAGCGCGGGCTACACCGGCACACTCGTCCCTTACAAATGTGACCTGTCCAACGAAGAGGAGATCCTGTCCATGTTCTCGGCCATCAAAACGCTTCACAAGGGGGTGGACGTGTGCATCAACAACGCCGGCCTGGCTCACAACGAACCCTTGCTGTCCGGGAAAACGGAGGGCTGGAGGAACATGATTGACGTAAGTGAGCGTAAGAGATGAGGCCGAAAACGCGGCTTCCGGAGTCGGAGATCATTTTCACGTTGCTTCAGAAGCAGGCAGGCGGAGAGGGGAGGAGCCGAAACGTTCAGCCCATGTGAGCAAAAGAGTTGTGTTTGTAGACTTTGTGCTGTTAAAGAAACGGGAGTTGAAGCCTCGTCGTGTGGACACCCACGGCTTCCCTCCACACACACACACACAGGCAGCTTCACTGGCTCTCCCACAGCGGAGGCAAACTAATGAAAGCCGGCACTATTTCTCCTGGCCAATTTGATTCATCGAGCTCTTGACCACTGAAGACCACCCCCTCCCGCTCTAATTCTTTGTCTCCACGGTCCAGCATTCGTGACGCTCTCCCATCTGTTGTCATGGCAGCCTGCACGAATGTGTACAGTGGTGTATTTTTAGCTCGTGTTTAATCTGTACGCTGACCTTGTTTGATCACCTCCCCCTATGTTACAACCACGCTGGCGATAAACTGTTGTCAGTCAGTGTCACCGTGGGACAAAAGCTTAGAGGACAGGAGCTGGATGGGCGCAGCCGGTTCACAGGGTTTAACGCTCCGGCCATTACCTCAACACAAGTCACCCGAGGATGTTTCATCGCCTTGGAAAAGTGTTCGCACCTCGTCGTAGCCACAGTAGGGGGGTCCACCGATAAATCGGGTGATCGGCAGTCGACCGAAACTAACATGTGAAATCAGTCGTGGTCTTTTTTTCTAATTAACAACCAATATTTATTTCCACTTTGCTGCCGTTTGTTTCTGGCTGAGGTTGGTCATGTGGTATTTGTTTGGTCATGTGACAAAGACAGGGACGCAGCGCAGGATTGTGGGTATTTTAATTGAAGCAGTGGTGAAGTCAGCAGTGTGGCAGTTTTTTTTGTTTTTTTTTAAAGTGTCCAAACAACAGTGAAGTAAAGATATATACAATAAATATTGATTACTAGACATACTGGCTATAGTAAAATTGGATATTAATATTTTCATATTGGTGCATCCCTAATATTTAGCAACTTTCTGCACAAAAATAATTCACCGTTGGAATCGACAGGTTATGCTTTTTAAATATCGGTGATCGGCCAGAAAACTGCAATCGGTGCACCCATAATTTTATGTAATGACCAACATAAGAACATAACCGGGAAAAAGAAAAGAAAGTATGACACGATGTTCTATTTTTTTATTATTATTTTCTTAATAAAAATCTGAAAAGTTTATCTGAAAAAATTTATATTCTTGATAAATAGTCATAAGAATATATGAATATTTCCCATAAGGAACCATTTTTCAGTTGAGACCAAAATTGACCTTTTTGGCCTAGATGTAATACCGTCCATCAGCATGAACACACCATGCCCTCAGTGAAACATGGTGGCGGCAGCATCATCCAGTAGGGAGGCTTTTCCTCAGTAAAATCATTGCGCTAAATTATCCTGAAAGAAAATGTTGGATGCTGGAGGTTCATCTACCAACAGGACAACAAGCCCAAACATACAACCAGAGTTCTGATCAAAGCATGTTTGTTAAATTTAGTCCTTTTAATTGCATATTGCATACGAATACAACTTCACATGCAGGTTTAGAATAAGTAGCTGAAGAAGGTGTTCGCTTTGTCTGCAGGTGAACGTCTTAGCCTTGTCCATCTGCACCCGCGAGGCCTACAAATCAATGAAAGAGAGGAACGTGGATGACGGCCACATCATCAATATTAACAGGTAAGCTGTTCAATCAATCTGGGGACAAAAGGGCCGTTTGTTCACGGTGGATTTTTAACTATGGATTAACAAAGGTAACGTCTGGCACATACAGAAATCAATGGGAGGAACAGATATCTATTTAAAATTTTCCCTGCTTACAGTGGTTTGCAAAACTATTTGACCCCTTACAGATTTGTTTTGTTTTTACTTTAATTGTTAACCAGCTTTTGAGTCCAGATAAAGTTAACCTGAGCAAATCTAAAATGCAGTCTCCAGATAGTTTAATTTATTGAAGGGACATGAGCTCATAATTTTATTCCCTCATCAAAAACATATAGTAGTGTTGCTTTGATTCTTTCGTGCATGTTTGAGAAATCTAGTCTCCCATGGCAACCATTCAGCTGTGCAAAACACCTGAGTGGTCCAAGCACCAGCTCCTCCTTGGAGTTGCAGTTTCCAGACTTCAGAGCTTTCCGCATTACAGAGCAGCCCTTGCCACTCAGCTCCTCTAGACTAGCCAGCAGGAATTAGCAAACACTTGGTGGAACTGCACATCTGCTGAGCTCACTATACGAGCTGCTTCTCAGTAAAACATTGTTAAAGAGTTAATAGAGGAGCGATGTTGTGAAGGCGGAGTTTCAGAAAGAAACTCGGAACATTTTTAGAGACAAAGTCTTAATCAATGTGTGGGGGTGGAATAAGGTTTGCGCAACACTGTTTGTACCATTATTTATAATGCTTAAGCCTCTTTTAGTGTCTTTATTGAATTAAAGCTGCTATACGGAGCAGTGAGCATCTTTTAAAACATTAGCCATTCATGCAGCTAATTTGTTTCTGAACTTAGGCGAAACTGTGAGATGTCATTATTCACCTGTTTGTTCTGATTTTCTCTCTCTCGGCCTGTTAAAGCATGGGCGGGCACCGACTTGTGCCGAGTGCCGATGAGCATTTCTACTGTGCCACTAAATACGCCGTGACTGCGCTGACCGAGGGGCTACGGCAAGAGCTCCGGGCAGAAAAGACACACATAAGAGCCACGGTGAGTGAGAGGCCATCACAACGCCACTAACCTTCATTTGTAGCAAATGAAGGTCATAACTCTCACTGTATGCAGCCTGGGTGGAACAGAAAGAGGAGTGAACCTTGAGGAATCATGTTTTCTCTGTCCCTGCAGTGTATATCTCCTGGAATAGTGGAGACCGAGTTTGCCTTCCGACATCACAACAGCGATCCAGAGAAAGCAGCAGCTGTCTATGAGAGTATAAAGGTAAGAGTTCGTGTATGTTTCTCACAACAGTTCAAATTGGTAATGTCATCTACTGTTGCATCAGGGATGCTTCTCCGTTTTTCTTTTTTAGTGCTTGAAAGCAGAGGATGTAGCCAGTGCAGTCACGTTTGTCCTCGGTGCCCCTCCTCATGTTCAGGTACGTTTCTCTGTCATTTGTTCATATTTTGATCTGGAAAGTGGTAAAGTTAATTCCTCCCATATATTTTTTTTTCCGTTTTTTGTCTTGTCAGGTTGGAGATGTGCAGATGAGACCAGTGGAGCAGGTATTATAGCAGTGACACTGGAAGGCAGCCACCATGACTCCTTAGCGGCCTCTGCTGGCCATGTGGGAAGGCAGCCAGGAAAGAAGAAAGGGAGGGAGATGTGTGGGGTCTATAGGAGCTTAACTAAGAAGAGCTGGAGCCTTAAAGAGGCTATGCGAGGAATAACGTGCATGGACTCTGTAAACCACTACAAAAAAATAAAAATACTACTGAACAGCAACGTTGTCAGCTGCTGGTCTCAGTCCTGAGCTGAGCCGACTTTAAAGTGAAGTAGGAACAAATTGGGACAGAGTTGCTGCTGCGCTGTGTGGTCATCTGCACGGCCACCACCTCAGAGGGAATATGTCATTGATTGCACATTTTGTTTGGTTTTGTTCGTTTTCTTTTTGTAGGTCACATGACATATCTTTTGGAAATCTAATTGAATTAATTGCTGTTTATAGGAAAACTTTTTTTAATAAATACTCTGACGTCTAATTGCAGATATAGCGGTGGTCTTACTCAATCTAATCCTAGACAATGCTATGTCATACCTACTGTGAGTAGCCAGAAACAGTTTGTACATCCCACTCCATTATTAACTCATCTCACAAACACAGTTGCCCTGGTTTTGGATCTGGTGACTCTTTGCAGATGTTCTGGGTGCATTTAGGGAAACATGTCTTTGTTGTTTTACGCGCTGGTTTTACGTACTGTCCACCTATTTGCCTGTGTAGAATCTGTTCTGCACTATGGAGCTCAGAAAAGGAAACTAGCTGTGCAAAATGTTATCTTTCTCTTGGAATTTTCTCATGTACTTAATAAACAAAATAAATACTGTTCCCCTCATGGTATTTGTGCGTGTAATGTGTGCTTTTTTTTTTTTTTTAGAAAATCTTAGCATTGAAACAATATGCAAAGTGGACTTTGGTCAAAGATCTTTTTATTATATCTTACATGACAGGGTTGCATGACCAATTAGTGTTATCTGCAGTTCCCTGTCGTGATTGACCTAATAAATGAGTCAGCAGCAATAAGACAATGGCAGTACCACAGTGGATTGTAAATCAGGGTGTCCGCACATCTTTAAGTCTTACATACATGTATCAAACATTAAATTAAATTAGAATGTATTCTGTTTATTAAAACATGTAAGATAGCCTTAAATATGTTAATTTGACTTTTTAATCTCAGGACTTTTCCGTCAGCCAAAAGTTGGAGTCTGTGACTCGAAGCTAACTATAACAAGCAGCTAAAATATCTTTGCTAGCTAGCTAATTAGCTTTTTTGCGTATGTTATGGGTAAACAACGTCACTTGTCACTGAATCTCTTCGGTTAACGAACAAGTTGCATTCTGTGAGGGGAGAAAACAACTTTTAAGCTGTAGAGAGCCATAGGCAGTGTAAGAAGCACAAACATGCCCCAGAAATGTCCCCGTTTTTGCTGTGCTTGATTGTAATGTCTCACGGATTGCCCCACCAACGTCTGTACTTATATTTTTAGGTCTTAAAATTCATTCAAGTTGGCATTAAAAAGTCGTAAATTTGACTTGCTGAAACATGCAGACACCCTGGCAAATGTTAAACCGTTATATTATCCTATTTTCTAATATAGAAATGATGTTTTAAAAATTATCCAATACAATGTGTTGCATAGATTTTACCAGAAGATGGCGCACTCGTTCAAAGCAGTCAATAAATAAAGCCTGTAAAGTTGTGGTAGTAAAATACAAGAGAAGCCCACAAATTAAATAACTCAAATTACAATACCTGGTTATTTTCATCCATCTGCAAGGCAGATATGCAAAAAAAACAAAAAAAAAAACAACACAATATAATTTTAATAAAATCGCTCTGTTCAATTTCCTGACTAGACCAAGCAAGATTCAAGGACTAACATTCATTACTGATAAGCTGGAGTTTTTCTGTTTGCCTCGGATGGGAGCAGAGTGTTTTGAGCAAAACACTAAATGTGTCAGAAATATGTCTCAATGGACTTTTTGTCAGGTAGGCTGGAGCTGGAGCTGATGATGGATATGTCTGGTTCTCCTGCTCCTCCTCCCCTCTCTTTATATAGACCTTTAGTGGCATTCAGGGCATACGGTGTGATCGATAGCTTCAGTTTCTGTAACAGATATGCAGCAAAAATTCGACCTTGCTTTTTATGACACATAGATTGCACACTAGTAAATAAATAACTGTTTTTAAACAAAAATTGCACCGATATTGGTACCCCTATAAATTCCTTATGCAACTGAAGCTTCTTTCATTCTTACACACTTTTTTGTGTAAGATTGTGTCAGTATAATCAAAGCTCAATTTATTTTAGCATTTGTTTTTTGTCAAAAAATCAGGCTGTCACTACAATGAGGCGCTACATTTCAGTTAGGATATAACTCACCTTCGTGAGCGAACCAGGAAGCACCCACAAAGTGTGAATTGCACCCAGAGGAATCCAGATAATGGAGGCCAGAGCAATGACCCAGCCAACGCCCTGAGCCCAGGGAGGGAAGACGTAGTCCCCATAGCGAGCCGGTCTGAACTGGATGATGGAGAAAATCAGAATGACCTGGCACAAAGAGACAGGGGTAAAGAAAAGAATTGTGAAACTCGGTGTAAGGAGATAATGTCGATATTTTCTCTCTTTTTTTATGCGGTAGACCAACAGTGATGAGCACAGGATCAACTACGAGCCAACAAAGCCTGAAGAAGATGTTTGGCTTTTGTCCAGTCATCTCTTCCATGTTGCTTGAAAGTCTCTTTACACCTGAGCAAAGAAAATATAGAACGTCTCTATGGTTGGATATGAATGCATATAAGCGGCGAGAACCAACTTTCGCTCACCGTAACTCCAACAGATGGCTATAATCTCAAAAAATGCAAGGAACATGATGGAGACGATGGCAGTGTAGTGGTCCATCAGCTGGAAGACGTAGATTCCTACCTGAAAGCACAAAAACCGGGTAAGGATGTCCTCTTTGGTCATTTTTTGGTTAAGAACTGCCTGATAGGTTATAAGGTTCACCTGCATCACACACGGGATCCCAAACAGAAAGGCCACACCGCAGACTGCAAGGATAAACAGTTCCTTCCTTTTGAAGATTCGGATCAGCTGTTGGTAGAATTCGTCCATCAAACTGGTCACCATCACCTCAACCATCGCAAACTGCCACAAAGCAAAGGATACATTGGAACAAACAGCATCGCGAACCCCGCAGGACAGGTCAGGAGAAAGTAGAAAGTAGTTTGATATCAACCTTCTAGACCTCTCAGGTCATCCCCAGAACCAGAACCAAACATGGAGAAGAAGCAGCATTCAGCTTCTATGCACCACAAATCTGGAGCAAACTTCCAGAAAACTGAAAAGATGCTGAAACACCGACTTCCTTTAAATCAAGACACCTGTTTAGAGTTACCTTTGATTAGTGCTAACTGGAACCCTGATCAACATATTTGATGTGTACTGATGATGGCATTTGAAAAGTTATGTTTATAGCTTGTTTCGTAATTGGTTTTTATTTATTTTTTATGTTTTTATGGTGTGAGCACTTTGAACTTCGAATTGTTGGTGAAATGTGATATACAAATAAACTCAACCTAGTCTGAGCAGCAGTCAAGAGGCTGTTGATAACTTTGGAAGGGCTGCAGAGATTCACAGATCAGGATGGGAAAATCTGTTAACTTTTAATCATGCACTCTGCAAATTTGGGCTGTTTGGAAGAAATGGAAAGCCATTTCAAAAATTTCAGGAGTCAATCTATTTCTTCATCTTTCTTAGAATCACAGCGTGGCTATCAGAGATAAGGACACAACGCCCAAAGCTACTGCTCAAATCAATATGTGATTTAATCACTTTTCAAATTAAATCTATATCTACAAGTAATTGCTGATAAGAACAATCAGTAACAACCAACAAAAATAAGTAATTTATTTCTGCTGGTCAGCGTTTTGGCAAGAATAATAAATGCTACCAATCAAGCAGTCCAATAATATTCGTGGCCTTGAGTCTCCCTGTAGTCAGTGATAAAATAATCCCAACTGGAAAGTCAAAACTTCAGTCTCTCTTGTTCAGCATGGTCCACCATCAACTACTGCTGCTCTCTCGAGACTAGAAAAGTGTTGGCACAGCGTTCCTACTGTAGGCCTCAAGGCTCATTCCCATGTATGCTTCCTAGCTAGTGAGGCTATCAGCAAAAAGAAGCATGTGTTGGTAAAATCCCTTCCAGATCCAAAAGGGAAACCATCTATTTTTCTACAGGACAGCAGGAAAAGGGCAGACAGAACTGACAACAAAAAGAACAGGTTGTTCTCTTGCGGGGAACTCGGTGATAAGTCGGCCCCACTGACTGTACGTTCGTGGCAAAGCCGAGGGCAGCAAACCGGTCAACATGTACAGTGCCAGATACATAATCAAGGGAAAGCACTTGCACATGAAATAATATAGCATTCAAGCATGAAAGCAGACATAACAGAGAGATGTTATGGCATCTGGATTTAAAAATAGTTTTTTCTGTTCAGGTTATGTCATGAAAGCTTTGTCTTCGGGGGGATGGAGGGGCTATGAAAAATCGACTTAAAATCGCCTAAGCGGTTCTTTATAGAAAGCACCACCTGTTTACTCAAATCTCCGCCTCGGAGCCGAGCTTCCGCCGACAGAGCCCACCTCCCCAACTGCCACTTGTCCTCCAGGCTAGCGGTCCTGCAGACTAGCGGCGGCAGCCGTTAGCAGACACCTGGTGAAACTGAGTGCCTGCTGATCTCATTATATGGACCACTTCTCAGTCCAAAAATGGATGTACTTGGCATAATGAGAAGCATTGTTATGATGATGTGCTGAAGGCCGAGTGTGGGAGAGATTAGGAGCTTCTTAAAGAGTCAGAAGCCCAATTTTAAGATGTCAGATTGCAAAGTCAAATTTCTTTTAAGTCATGTTTAATATATAATAACTGGAGGTAACATAGTTGCTTGGTTGTGCTATAAGATACAGCTATGTGCCTGAAAAATGCATAATATGATCCTTTTATAAGTTCAAACCTTTGATGTATCAACTAGAAAAAAAATATTACTCTGTTGTTTCTTGGTCTTAGTCTGTAGAAAAATCAACATTTTCCTATGAAAAAAATCAAACACTGCAGGTGATACTCTGGCCCAGAAGAGGAAGAACATCACATCTTTGCTGCCACGCTGTGCTTCAAGGACATGGAAGGACTCAGATCAACATTCATGTGTTCAAGTGGTCCAGTCAAAGCCCAGAACTAAATTAAATTGGCCATATGTGGCAAGAGCTCAAAGTTTATGTTTACAAAAACGTTCCATGCAGTTTGACTGAGCTTAATCATACACGTCAGTCTGAACGTGCACATTGATGTTAGTGGCATATCGCAAAAGATATGCAGCCAGTGAAAGATGAATACCACCTCACTTTACCAGTTATTAATGGACAAAACATGTGAAAATTGAAAGGGTTGCAGGGGTATGAACACTGCAAAGTTCCAGTTTGTCTACCTCACTGTCCAGCCCCAGGCACAGCAGCATGAAGAAAAACAGGACAGCCCAGACCTGGGACACCGGCATGTTGGCGAAGGCTTGTGGGTAAACAACGTAAACCAGTCCTGGGCCTGCCAAGATCCAAGAAGATCAACGATGACAGTTGAATAAAAATGCAATGGTTTCACTAATAGAGGTTTTTAAAGACAACACCGATATTGTCTCACCATCCACCGCCAGCTGGCTGACGGGAATGCCCTGCAGATAAGACATGTAGCCAAAGGCAGAGAAGATGACGAAGCCTGCCAGGATGCTGGTTAGGGAGTTGGTGATGGATATGAACAGTGTGTCCCTGTGGAGCCAGGAAAACATCCCTCAGCTTGCTTTCTAACCATTTTCACAATTAATTTGGGTCTCCTCACTTCAGAACGTTGTTGTTGAAGGAGTTGTAGCTGGACATGGCCAGCAGGGAGCCAAAGCCAATCCCAATTGAGTTGAAGATTTGAGCCGCAGCGTTCACCCACACCTGCAAAACACACCGTCATCTGTTACACCACCTCTCCACCAGCTGGCGCTCCAGCCGGGTCCTAGTACTTTGCCGCTCTGACCTCCACGGACCGGAGCTTGTCCCACTCGGGCACGATGAAGAAAGATATCCCGTCCGAAGCCCCAGGGAGCTGCACGTTATTGATCAGCAGGGCGATGAGGATGATGTATGGGAACAGAGCAGTGAAGTACACCACCTGCACACACCGGAGAAAAGATTATAAAACGCCAACAGAGAGCAGGTTCATTTCTTCATCTCTCACCCAAGATGGCGACTGCGAAAAAAAAAAAATCTAATTATTATTTTCTTTCTCATCTAAGTTAAATATTTTTTAACGTGTGCTTGTGTTATTTCCCTTGTAAAATACAACTAATTTTGCAACCATTAGTTGTTTTCTATGATTATATATTGAGTAAATAAAAAATAAATCCTATTTTGCGACAGGAAATGAACTTGCACGCCTATTTTCACTTCCGGTTAACAATTGAAAAGAGCGCGAAATGCGAAAATGGACTCAAATTTTCAAGTTCAACCGGAGACTGTGGATGAAACAGGGAAGGTCACATCACCAATTTGGCAGTATTTCAGATATTTAAAACAAAAAAACCGAATCAATAATTATCAGTATCGACTGATATGAAACATTGCATATATATTTAATAACATTAAATGATGCAAACTAAATGATACTATACATGGAAAAACTATTTTTATATCATTTCTTTTAGAGTTGGGACACTTATAATCAGCTAATCTCTTCCTGCTGATGGCAGCTGCTACTCTTGGGGAAATATAAGATATTAAACTTGTTTACTGTAACTTCAGTGTTTGTCGGTTGATGTCACTTTTAAGTAGTTAAAATAATCGTTTAAATATCCCTCTGCATTTCAAAATTCAAATAATTGTTTTACTTTGCTATTCCTGTAAAGTTAAAATTAATATCTACAACAACACCGGTATGATATAAGCTAATTACAAATGACGCTAATGCTATGTTCTGTTGCACACTTAAGGCGCTTTTGCACTGCACGGAACGGTACGGAACGGAAAAGTTCCAGCCCTGTTGTGTTCGCATTACACTCAGGGCGCCATCGCAGCAGCGCCAGACGTCATTACTTTTAAAACTAAACAATGTGGTTTGAGTTGGTTGGTTGCTAACTGCCAATTTAATAAAAATATTGCAAAGAGCACTCTTTACAAAATATAGTAGTGAGAGCCAGCTGTCAACGGAAAATCAACGTCTGACTCCATAACAACCAGCAGCCAATCAACTGCTGGTTCTAAGCAGAACCGCTTGGCCGGCATGATTGGAACCACAGCTCTTGTAGTTCCATGGGGCCGGGTGGAACCGGTTGCAAGTTGTAATGCGAACACGCTCGGAACCGTTCCGTTCCGTACCGTTCCGTGCGAAAGCGCCTTTAGAGTAGCCTTGGAACGATGAAACATCTGGTGTTGACCAGTTGGTATGGGGGTGCCCCACACAAAAGGCAGCTCAGGGCCCCAAATAGGTTTGAACCGGCCCTGAGCTGCAGTCATCTCTAGGTTAACCCACCTTGCCTGTTGACTTCACTCCTTTAAAGATGCACAGATATATGAGAATCCAAGCCAGGATGAGGATGAGGAAAAGCTCCCACCGCAGGATTCCTGTTTCCTCCACTCCGCTAGTCTGGCCCAGCATTTTATGCCTTCACAAGTAAGAAAATAGAAGTGGTTGTTAACAATTTGCAATGAATAACTTTCATTCCTGTTTATACTTTAATGTACCATCAAAACCAAGAAAAGTCAGTCAGATGCTCCTTCAGAGCCACTGTAACATAATTTATTTCTATTTGCCGTTTTCAGTTCTCCAGGCTTTCTGAAGGTTACTCAAAGTTTTTCTTCAGACTTTATGGCTGCTTTTTCTGTCGCCTACTGTTCAGCTCTTGTCACTGATCGTAACAGCGGTGTGGACTTCAAAGGAGCAACAGGGGGAAACAAGAAGACGGAAAAAAGAGTCAACCACAAAAACGATGAAACACACTTTTAAAAAAAGTTGCATCTTAAGAAACAAGGTCATCCTTCAGCGCTTCATCTGCTCTATGCCAGGTTTTCAGCTAATATCTCTTTGGGAAACATCCTGCTGGCACTGAATACAGGTCTCTGTATGTCAAAATAAAATTTCACAATTTAGTGGCTTTCTTTTTCTTTTTCTTTTTTCTTTTGCAGTTTCAACTCAGGAAATGAGGCATTGCTCAAGACCTCTTTACATAAAACAGAAGCCGACTCCTTCGATGCAAAAACACAAAGAAATGAGGTGTGACTCCTGATGTAGCTTACATTCAGAATCTGCATTCATAATCTGCTGTCTTCAGATATTCATAATAAGCAAGTCTTCTCTGCATGGTAGCCTTTACAGGAAAGCAAGCTGTTTACATTTTTGCACAGCGAGATCCTGGGGTTAGTAAGTCAATGAGTACACAAAAACAGCACCGGATCTACATATGCTGTCTTATTTCCAAGTGAAAGACAAAGATCAGCGGCGGAGAACAGCGTTTGTTTCAATAGGAGAGTTGAAACGTTTTAGAGTCGGTGCCAAAGGTTAATTCTGACTCAGCATTTCACACACTTCCTCTGCCATATTTTATCTCCCAGCTCCATATCACTGACCTTCACTTTAACTGATATTGCTCACATGACTCAGATAACTCATTTTTAATCAGCCTTTTATCTCATTTCAAATTTTCTCCTGATGATTACTGTTATGCTTTCATACTTTCGCGATACATTTGCAGAAGTATTAACTTGTGTGTGCCTCCTGAAAGCGGCAAGTTATTTAGTAATGCGGCTGCACACTAATCATTAGCGAGGTTTGGTTGGATCATTGTGGGGATGCAGCGAGTGATGCCTTCTTGGACGCACTTGAAGAACTCCTGGCTGGCTGTGGACGAGTAGCTGCTGTTGGTGGCGTGGTCCGTGCAGTTGGGCGTGTTCCAGGTGTTGTTGCAGCTCTGCCAGGGAAGAGGCGCCTGGAAGGAGTTGAAGAGGTAATACAGGGCCCAGGTGATGACGATGTTGTAGTAGGTGCACATGATGAAGGAGATGGCCACAGATGCTATGCCCACCCCTGAGGTTAGACAAAAGAAAAGGTCAGATGTAGTCTTTTTTTTTTTTTTTTCTTCAGTGTAGGATAGAGGAGTCCAAACCTTTGGTGACATGAGCCAAAGTCGTAAAACAAATTTATGTTTTTGTTTTTCATATTTATTAAAACTATCATCATGTCCTCCTGTTCCTCCCTGAGCTGCTATCGCTGTCTGAAAAAATGCACAGCTCCCGGTCAAGAACAACCAATTAGAGACAGGGGGAGGGTCTTAATGCTGTCAATCATCCTCCTGTACACTGCTCAATGTGCTAATGGTGGAAAACCAACTCACCATTACACCGTCATTGGTGGATATCCTAAGTAGTCTTAGCAATTGTAAACCAGGTTTACCTCATTAAAAAAAAACATAGCACGTTTTCTATCAAATTAAATTTGATTAAACACTTGCTTTTGCCAAGTTCAACAAACAAATTAAAGACACATTTGGATGCTGCATAGTCAGAGTTTGAATAAAAGTCACTGGATACATTTGGTCCTTGAAAGAGAATCCAAAAAGCGCTGTTACTTAAAGACAAATAATTAGTGTTGCTTACAGTGTTTTCTGTCTTAAGAAGATCTGTGATAACTTTGCCCTAATTAAAAATAGAAAGTCCAAATTTATATCAAGCACCTGTGTTAAGGTGGCGGGGTCAAATTTTCATAACTCATCAGGGACCAAACAAAATCAGTAGAGTTTTTTTGTTGTTGTTTGTTTAGAGACTGGGGTTAGGGTGGATCGAGTGCAAAGTACCTTTTAAGAGTGGGCAAACAGTGGCCAGAGCATGAACCGGGCCTCTCCGGGTGTACTGGCCCACAGTCAGCTCCATGTAGAGCAGAGGGATCCCCAACACCACCAGCATGAGCAGGTAGGGAACCAGAAAGGCACCTGGCGGACAGGGATGGTGAGTCAGCTCTTCAATCTTTAACTTTTGTGAAAGTTAATAATCAGGTGAGGTTTAGCTCTCTAAAATATATCTTTATGACTACAAAACAATCAAGCCCCACTGCAGGTGGTATTGAAGGACTTCAAATGAAGTTTACAAATCACATTCCAGCACGCACTGAGCTCGTTTCACGAGAAAACCAAAGTGTGTTTGGTTAAACTTTGCCCCCCTGATGTCAAGACTTCTAAACATATATGGAGAATGCTGTTCTGTTTGCAGCCTGCTTCCTCACCTCCTCCGCTCCTGTAGCAGAGATAAGGGAACCTCCAAACGTTCCCCAGGCCCACGGCGCAGCCGATCCCTGCCAGGGTGAACTCTATCTGCCTGCTCCATGTCGGTCTGCTGGGCTGCTGATCCGTGGCTTCCTTCTTGCTCATCGCGGCTGCTGGTCTGGACCCTAACTCCATGGAGAGCTCGACGGTGATTTAAGCAGCTCTGGGGTGATATAACCTGTCTTTTTTATTATCCTTAATGATTAGCCTACCACAAACACTCCAGCATGTGGCAGCTCCAAGGCTCGCATCGAGGAAGAAGTTGGTCAAAGTTAAGAGGTGGCATGAAGAAGTTTTGTGGACCGTTGTCACAAATTGCAAATGATAGCAAAACAAAAAAAAAAAAAAGTGGCCTTTTTTGAACATTTTTTTTTTATTCTGATAAAGTTTTTTGCCTGCTTTTCCAGAGATTCGACCAGCATGTGAGCCACTCTGAGGATAGTTAAACCCTTTCATGTGCAGAGGGAATGCTGTTCAAAATCTGGTGCTGGACAGTAGCTCTCAAAAGTGTGAAATCATTTTAGAATTTTTTTGTTTTGACAATTATGTGCAATTCAACCTAAAAACAAACTAATTTGTCTAAACAAATTTGAATTCAAATTTAAAATGTCTTTAAACATTCAAAAGGTCTCAAAATCTCTTAAATTATGAGGCCATCTCTTGTCCACGTCTCTCTTCTGCATCAATGTAGTTTTAAAATGTAACCAGATCAAAACGTTTCCAAAGCGTTTTCTTTTGGCGAAGCCATTGTTTTGTTTTGTTTGCACGTTTATGATTTCATAACATGTAGCTTCAATTGCTGAAAAGAATCTCTCAGATCATAATGCTGCCACAATCCTAGCAATGGTATTCTTTTTTTTTCTTTGCCCTCTAAAATGTCGTGTTATTCTTAAAGTAAAACCGACACAGCGGCTGATCACACTACGAAAAATAAAATCTTGTGTGTAATTTTTCTGTATAATGTTACATGTGGTGAATTGAGTTACTGAAATAAAATACTTTTTAATTATACAGCATTATTGTTGTCCATGGAAAGTGGAAATGCTTGTTTTCATGCTTAAATGTTTTTTTTTCTTTTTTTTTTTTAGAAACACGTTGGAAATAAAGCAGTGACATTTTATCGAGAGAAGCAATTATAATTTCTACATGAAATAATTGACAAAAGCTCCTCATAACATTGGCCTAACATCAATTTGATGCTAAATGCCTTTCCTGGTGAAATTAAGCTGAACTCACATAACTCGTCAACATGCCGTCCTCGATTCATGTGATTTGTGGTCAGGAGATACATGACTAGCGCAGGCTCTTTAGCAGAATAACAACCGCTATATTAACCACAGAGACTTTCTGAAGTGCTCACATCAGCTCGACTTCCTTTTGTGTTTGTGTTCATCTCAATCTGAAATACATCTATGCCTCCAAAACTATTTAAATGCCTTGAAAATGATCACACAGCCACAAATTCCGGTGCATTTTAAGGTATTATAACATGTAACGGTTTAAAAATTATACAGGCTTTTCAAAAATGTTTTATTTTCCAACAAAATGATTGGTTAAGGGCCTGAATCTGTTGCCTTTGCGTTTGTTTTCATTCTTCTTTACCATTACGTTCCTCTATGTATTGGTCTTTCACATAAAAACCCCCATAAAAGACACCAAATTGTCTATGTGTGGTTGTGACGTGACAAAATGCAAAAATATTCAAGGGGTGTAAATACTGCGATTGTGCAGTATACTTAAGTTTACAGTTTACTGTAAGTTTATCTTACAGTAAACTTGAGCTCATAGTAAACATTAGGTTTATATCTAAATTCAGCTTTTTCATCGGATGTTGATTACAATTTGGCTTTAGCCGCGTGAGGTGTGTAAAAATGCTGATGATTTACTTTCTCTTAAAAAAAAAAAAATCTTTCAGAGAGTTTGGATAAGAGGGGGGGAAAAATCAAGCCTCTGGAACGTAGATACACAATAGGAACATCCCAGATTCTCAGGACTTCAAGCTCTGTGCTGCAGCCAACCCTGGTGGAAGCTGGAGAATGGTGCAACAAGTAATTTGATAGATGGAGGAGAGGCAGTGAGGATGGTGAGCGGTGGAGCTGGGCCGCAGGCACTGCAGGCAGAAGAGCCTGGAGTGCACAAAAAAAAAATTCAAACACACCTGCTTCAGCCATTTAAGAAGGTAATTTGTGTCATGCTGCATGTGGCCTTAAGGCGTTAAATTAAGGTATTAAATATATTTTTGCATCGTTTCTGTTATCAACAGTTTCGTAATATAGGAATCAAGAGCTTCCTAGTTGTCAAAATTCTCCACAACATTTGTTAGATTGTCATATTTCAGTTTCATCTGTAGCAGCCCCTTCCTCCTCTGTTTAAACAATCGATGTTGGATGACACATGTATCATGTGAGAACTCATGAACACAAGCCCCCTCTTGTAAATTTACAGGGATCCTGTTTAGAATTCCTTGTGCGGATATTTACACTCCCACGCCTACATTGGTCTGTCCAGTAATCCTGGGTGGGGGCTGAGGGAGAAAAGGGGGGGGAGTGGTAGCTGTTTCAGTCAGTCAAGTTGCAGCGAAACCAAACAAAACACACAACGTTGAGGTGTTCAGAATAAGCTACCTCACACGAGCGCTACATAGAATGCTTTTATTTTGAAAGTACGTAGCGGAAGTACTGTGTTTCCGTGTTGAAAGATGTATCCTCCGGTCTCCATTTTGGAAAAAAAAAAAAAAAAAAAGTAAAAAAAAAGGGAAAAAACCCTCTTCCTGTAATTTACGGTAGGGGCGTGAAGAGGGTTGCGCTTAAAGCGACCAAGGGAAGTTTAGAAACAAAAATATTTGCTTTTTGTATGTTTTAAGCCGGTGTGGATTCACGTTTTTTGTGTCGATAAAAATGGGAAATTGCCACACCGTTGGACCGAACGAGGCCCTCGTTGTTTCAGGTAACGTGAACGTTTCTGTGACGCCGTGTTTTTCCTGCCTGGAGCGTCACTCTGTCGTTAAAACACTTCTTACGAGAAACTATGAAATAATATCGAAGCTTAGCAGTTAAATTATTTATATATTTTTAACCAGAAACTAATGCGTGCGTTTCTGTTGGGAAAATATGCCGAGTATTATAAAGTATATGACAACAAATTACTATCTTCGGTTTATTTTAAGTCGACAGATTCTCCTCAGTTCCCTCTAAAGGAGAAATGGCAGGTTTAATTTTCTCATGATGATTTGGATGTAATTTATAATTATTTTGTGAATAGAATGATCATATCCGCCATATTTTCGCATATGTACAGTATGTTCCCATAGCAATATTCCCGCTTTGTTTTTATGCAGTCTGGTCTGTTCAAGATGTTTAAAAAGTCCTGATTTTACCACCATGTTTATCTATATTACATCCCTACAGTATATGACTCGTAGATTTACTAATTTTTGGTTGCAGCCATTTTCCTTTATATTATTAACTTTTAGAAAGGGATACTTTGGTAAGAAAAAAAGGCAGCTATTTTATTAATACGCTATGTATACAGAAAAGTAGACTTAAGAGCAATAAATGTTGAGCATAATTGTATGTTTTCTAATGAACACTGGTGAAATATGGTGGTGCTCTCCTGAAGAAACAGAGGTAATTAAATTAGCAGGGCGGATACATACACCGCACTGCACTGACTGTCTGGTCTGCAGATCTCATGTTTCTTAAACCCCTGACTTTGGGCTCATATAGAGAGAAAAATATGTGTGCATCATGTTCACAAATGCTCATGACAATATTGAAGTCAAGCACAAAACTTGTTCTGAACAAAATGTCACAAATATGTGCACCAATCAGACAAAGATATCCACCAATATGCACTTTTCTAATTGATCTCAACTACCAATTCTGATTTTGATTGATTAGTGATTTTGATTGATTAGTTTTCCCCCCCCCCATAAGGACTATAATACAGTATTTAAGTGAAAATGTAGTAATTTTGAAGGAATTGCATTTTTGTCTAATTTGTTATCCTTATAAACATGTATTAAAGTGCATGCTGGCGGTTGACCCTTTTTATAGACTTGAAATAGAGAGAGCTTTTAGTTTTGATGCATTCAGTAAATTGGAAAACAAATGTTTTCTGTATTGTGGAAAAATTGACCAATAGTTTGGTAACCCTGTAATTTAAAGTCTGCCTTGCGCTTGTCTTAGATTCACGTATGTAAAAAAGAAAATTGTTCATAGCAAAATTGTACCGTTACGGTATAGACACCAACAGTATCGGGGAGTTTGTGATCTTTAAAACGAATATTTTAAAACCTCTGTGTTTTTTCACACTTGTGGCAGATCCACGGTTTGTTGAAACTGTAATTTGGGCTTGTTCCACAGATTTCCTTCCCCTTTAACTGAATCTGTAAGGGCCTCTTTCCTCACTCACTCACTTCAGCTTCATTGTGAAAACAAAACATTTATGAGCGGCATGAAACATTGGAGCTTAAGACCAGAGCTGAGTTACAGCATAAGCTCTGCATTTGAAACCAGGACCAGTTGATTTAGAAAATAAAAATATTTCTAACTTCTTGAAAGAAGAGGATGTGTGGTTTAATATCATATGTGTGATGTCAGTCACACTGTACATTCCACGTTATTAACCAGGAACCCTCCCTTCTCCTGTCTGTGGAATGAGTGCATTTAGGAATTTCAGCTATGCTGCTGTCTAAATCGGTATGTAGCCCATGTGTTTCTATAGATGACCTGACCAGTTGGCATTACACTTAAAATTTAAGGTCAAAGAGAGTGTCCTTGCATGTTTAAGACGACAGCTGGTTTCAATTTCTGAATTGCCTGGAAAGTTCAGATTTTTGGAAATGACCCTTTATCTTACAGTGACACTTCTCCTTGAGACATGAAATGTCATTGAGAGACAGCTGAAGATGGCTGGGTCAGTAGGCCCTGCAATTATCAGTTGTTAGGTCGTGTTTTTTGAGACTGTAAATATAGATCTCTCTTTCCTTTGCCTGCCACTTAACATGTGACAGCTGGGAATGTCGCACTAAAGAGTCCAGATTAAATCAGTCTGAAAGGCCATGACCTGTTTTGCTATTGGTACATTTCCCAACTTGAAAGATTCCACAGTTATTGTCAATGTTATCTTGATTTAGCGCCTAGTCTACAAGCTCAGGCAATCGTGGGAATGTTCGTCAAAAAACCACAAGGTGCAAGACTTTTGCAGGCTCTACTAGTGCAACCTCATATCATCAGTCGAGATGAAAAGCAAAGGCAACGTAGTTACCTTTTGTGAACTTGTGGGGTCTGTGGGTGAAACAAATAATGAAGCGCGAGACGCTCTTCTCGCGCTTCAAGAGGATGCACACAAACATCCTCTTGAGTAGCTAACTGATTCCAGTAAAAGGAAAAAGAAAAAAATCATTGATTGATTTTGTTTGGTTTTCTTTCAAAAGCACAAATGATTATTTCTGGATTAAAAATGTTCTTCTGGATTTTCGATTTTGATCGTTTTGAAGTAGCCGTCTCAAAAAAAAAAAAAAAAAAAGAGAGAACCTACCAGCTGATATAAGTATTTGGATATTTTACATGATGACAACCATGTGACTCCTGCTCAATGTGTTCTGGAAGGTGGCTGCTGTGGTTCGGATCAGAAGACGTATGTCGTGGGGGGCTGGGCTTGGGCCTGGTGGCTCATCTCTGACATCCAGAGGTAAGAACCTGTCTGCTGTGGCCGTAACAGAGACACATTTCCTAATTGTGTTGTGAGAGCAGGATGCCTGCTGGTCGACAAAACTGCCCACGTCAGAGATAAATGACGAGGAGTAACTGTATTAACCGGCTTGTTGGGTTTCAATGATGAAATCCTTTTTAGCACAGCTGTAAAAATACACTGTACTTTAATCAGGATTTAAAGCTCAGGACTGAGTCACTCTAAGCAAACATTTCTTTTGTCTATTTATTACTAGTGTCAACAAAAAAGAAGTATCCAAACAACTTTCAGTCATGTTAATATGAAACTTAGTTTATATAAATGTCTGGGAGAAGTAGTTTTATTAAAACGACCACCATTTGTCTTGTAAAATCAGATTTTTTCATCATATCTAAAAATAAGGTTTAATATCAAATGGATTTTGATTTAGTATTGGTTTATGATGATGTGCTACAAATGTTACTAAATGACATTTTCTTTTTATTAACATAAATATTTGATTATATGATTACACAATTGTTTTCCAATAACTGGATTTCTTCTCTCTTCTCTCTCATTCATGTGTTCTTTGCACATGAATGGGAGTGACCGCACGGTCAGTGACTGTTTTTATTTCCATTTTTCTAAATTTGCATAAACTCAGAGTAAAGCCAAGTGTGGTTATGCAGCAGATTGGGAGGATGAATCTACTGCTGCCGTTGTGGGTTATGAACTTGTAGTTCCTGTTAACAACGTTCTTAAGAAAAAAAAAAAAGCCTGCAGTGGAGTTGGCAAGTACACAATTTGGATTAACTACTCTGCATTTTTATTTATTTATGAAGGTTTGGTTATTATATGAAGTAAACTGCTGGTTTGATTAAGCAGATCTTTTTCTGCACTGTGTTTGCCATGATTTTGTTTTATATAAAAACCGGCTGATTTAATTGCTAAACTGTAACAGATGTTAGTAACATTTGCTGACTTTAGAGGAATCTCTGATATTTAACCAGTTTGTGAGCTTGTACTTTTTCAGTTTTAGTCATTTTCTACTTGAGTTTTTCCGCTGGAAAAGAAAGCCGCCTGCCTTGAGATGTTTAAAAACAAATAAAAAATTCTAATCTCTTTAAAGATTCCCATGAAATGTAGCCATAGTTTGATTGACTATTATTTTCCAGCAGAATGTCACTGAGAGTGTTTTTTTTTTTTTATCAGGGGTCATAACAGCATAAGTGGTTATCAGAATTATAATTCTTGTTCCCCAAAATTAATCTAAAATGCTAAATTTCAGATTAATTTTAGATTAATCAGAATTAATCTAAAATCTAAATTTTAAAATGCTAAATTTTAGATTAATTTTGCATTTTAGACCTGCTTCATTAATTGAGTGTCTCTTTAATTGTATGCACCTATGTGGCTAGCTACCAGCTTTTAGTTTAACAAACTACATGTTATCAGTAATTGACTTTTACACTGATAAAATAATTACGTAATGAAAACGAATCGCTAGAGAAATCAATCGGTCTTACAAATGAAGACAAATAACATCTGTCATAAAATCCAGAGTTTTTCATATATGTAAAAAGAGCAGCTCAACATCTTATTCCTTTAAGTGCAGCTCCACTGGAAAGACAAACTCTTAGTTTACTTTTACATATAAAAAAACAAACTTTTATTTGCTATTGAAAAATGATCTAAAATGAAAGTGACTCCATCTTCCATGTTTCTGGAGTTCCCAGTTGTAAATGGTTTTATAATTAGTTTGCCTCCCCCCTTTGTTTGTGCTTATCTAACATGCTTTGCTTTGTTTTTCATCAGCCTGTCTCAGCATTAAAACCTGAAGTCACTCGTTTCACAATAAGTGCTGCTTTTCGTCTGTGGTTGCTAGGAAACCTGAGCATAGACCAAACCTAAACAATGATGCACCATTGAAATTTAAGCAGTCCCAGAGATTCTTCACTGTCTACTTCAGCTTCTGTTTTATTTTAATGTGCATCCTGTGTGTACCATGCAACATAGACGGCATTCTACAGCAGTGGGAGCCTGACTTCCTGTTTAGATGCAGCAATTATCTTAATGCTCAAGGATTTGACTCATTGATCCAGCTGTTCTGGAAAGCACTTGTAGGTGGAGCTGCTAACAGGCTTTTATTTCCAGCTCTGACACTTTAAACAAAAAATCCAATCAAAATAGGATCAGCTAGAAATATTAAATTGGATTATTAATTCGTGATGCTCTCTTTTTCTTAATTATCAGAATGAAATCTGGTAAGAAAAAGGCAAAGTTGTGCAGTGTGTTTGTCCCCGTCTCCCTTCCCTCCTCTACTTGTCGATGGTTATTGACGTTCCTAACAACTGTTGTCCAACTTACTGTTTTGCCTATGCTATTCCCGCTGCCTGCCTGCCTGCCTGCATAGAATGTCTCTGGAGATTATGACCATCCTCTGTCGCTGTGAGAATATCGAAACCTCGGAGGGTGTTCCCCTGGCTGTGACAGGGGTGGCTCAGGTAACGCACTTGAAAAGGCCCAGAAAGGCCAAAGACAGGCAAAGGAGAATGGTGCCACTAACAAACTAACCAATAATATCTCTGATTGGCTGCAAATGGGGGGATCTGAGGAGTTCAATGCCAAAGAAAGTTGTGCTGCATTTCCTCATACGTAATCCTGAATTACATCAGAATTCGAAGGAGTCTGAATTCTGGATTAAGTGTCTTGTTGCTCTGCTGCTGGTGATCTGGAGTCCTTGGGTGAATGGTTTCACTTTTGTTCTGTTTTTTCTTTTTTTTTCTTTTTTTGTGTGTGTTATCTGTCCCTTCCGTTCATTTCCTCTCCCTGCGTACATGTCGATTTTTATTTGATATTTTTCCACATTCTTCACAGGATAACGCTTGAGATTATGACCCTGCAGCCCAAGTGTGAGGATGTAGAGACAGCGGAGGGTGTAGCTATAACTGTCACTGGGGTGGCTCAGGTAAATCATCACACTTCTCTGGGAATGCCAGATCAGGCTCCACTAATCCCTCTACCCATACCTTCCTTTCTTTGTTAGAAGAGCCAGAAATCTAAGCAGACCAGGAGTTTTATGTACACATTTCAAGATTCACTCAGACTTTGGGCTAAATTGTTTGCATGATTTTATATCATCCTAAAACAGAATGCATCGAGCTGAAATCCCCTGATTAGCTGGAGACAGTGTTGTGTTTTTTTTTTTTGTTCGTTTCAGGGCTGTAATGTTTTATTCAAAGGTAAATGATCCATAGTGAAAATATCCAACACTTTAAAGCTTACATAGGCAGCAGATTTTTGTTTCTTTTCCTTTATTCTCAATGCTTTTCTTCTACCATCTGGTAGTGATACGCTTTGCATCAATAAGCTGCCGCAAGAAAACTGAGACACAGTTTTAGTAAGTTTCTTTCACCCCAACTTGGATCCAAAGGAAAAGCATTTTTCTGACTAGAGTGTATGGCCATGAGCCAGTTTTCCATTACATGGTACGGTGTCAACTATTTTAGCTTGAAATAGGGTGAATCCAAACTAACATAAAGCAAAACTAATGCTATATTTACTCAAAATTTACCCCTTTTTTCATTTTATCATTTCTATGCTGCTATTCCATTTTTATCTTTCCATTTAACAGCTTTCAGTACAATTCATCTGCCGGTTGAATTATTCCTCTTTAGCAATGTGGTGGCGGTGGCTGTTGGGCATCGCTATGAAATGCATCAAGACAAAGGTGGTGAAATAAGTCGTCAGTAGTTCAGTGTCCAGATCTAGAACTTCAAACAACTCTTACCTCTTACCTACCTGAATTTTTAAAATTCCAACCGCATTTTGCCAAATCTGTATTTTTAGTTAAAAATAAATAAAAATTTTGGGGCTCTAGTGGCCTTTATTAGAAAGTGCTAACACAAGAAGGTAGGTAAAGAGAGAGAGAGGAAGGACATGTGGCTCAGGTCACCCGGCCGGGATTCGAACCTGCGCCGGCCACGTCAAGGACTAAGGCCTCCTAATGTGGATTGTGCTTAACTCCTGCACCACCACAAAACCCCCAAAGCAGTGGTCCCCAAAGTCGGTCCTGGAGGGCCGGCATCCTGCACGCTTTAGTTCTCTCCCTGGTAGAAGTAACAACCTTTTCATCATGTCAATGTTCTTCTTAGGCCCTCTAACGAGCCATCATTTAAACCAGGGAGAAAACTAAAACATGCAGTATGCCGGCCCTCCAGGACTAACTTTGGGGACCACTGCCCCAAAGCGTTTTGCCAAATCTGCCGTTTTATTTGCCTCTAATCCAGGGGTGGGCAATCCTGGTCCTCGAGGGCCGGTGTCCTGCAGCTCTTAATGTCTCCCTGGTCCAACACACTTGACTCCAACAGCTGCATCACCTCCTCAGTGCAGTCAGGTTCTCCAGAGTCCTCCTAATGACCTCATTATTTGACTCAGGTGTGTTGAAGTAGAGATGCATCTAAGAGTTGCAGGAGACCGGCCCTCAAATCTATATGTATACTGCTGAAAACCAACTGTGAGGCTTTAAAAGCTTTTATTTTCCTTCCATTTTTATTATTTTAGCTGACAAAACCTGCCAGGAATCCACTTATACTGTCCAGGCGTGCCCCAATCAGAATCTTTTTACAGTACAGAGATTAAATCCGATACCTCCTAAAATGCATTTAAAAACTCAGTGGGTCTAAAGTGCAGTAAGATAATGCTTCACTTTATCACCCTTAAGTGGTCCATGTTAGCACTGTGATGATGTTCTTAATTTACTCGCCTGTGACGTCCTCAGTGCTGCAGTCTCTGTTTTTCTTGGTAGCGACAGGCATTATCTGTCAAAGGGAGTTTCTTTTGTTTCTAATTAGACACATACAGCTGCTGTTGATCAAAGGCAGTTAGCCGAAATGCTGAGCTAATGCTGCTAGCATTTTTTCCTCTTGAGCAATGTTTGATAATTCTGCTCGTAAAATTTTGACTCAATTCCAGTTCATTATGTCTGGAGAAAGCTTTCAGGAAACATTTTCTCCTTTCTTACAAATGTAGCACCTTGCTTTGTACATCATAAAGTGAAATGATGTTTTAGATGCTTTTTGCAGAGCGTTCCTTTCTACATCCGTGTGGGTGTAACATGTAGAGAATGTCACATGACGCTGCAGCAGCAGGGATAGTCTCTATTGCACTATGAACATCATTGTAAAGGGTGAAAATAAAAAAATTACATCAGTTCAATGTGCAAAAATTAACTGTATATATTTGTGGGAGTGCAACTGAAGAGTATCAGCTGTTAGTCCTTTAAAAATGTCTTGATTGAAACCCCATCGATACAAACATAATACTTTTTTTCTTATATCTTTTTTAATGCATAAAGTCATGCAATAATAAGTGTTATTCAAATCCTTTTCTGTGGCTTTTTCACAAGGTGATTAAGTTCGGTAACTACGTCCTACCCCTTTGCGATTCTTATTTTTAAAATGCACATTCCCTGAATGTGAAATGTTCTCACATTCAGGGAAGTGTGTGTTTTCTCAAAAAAAAGCCTTGAGCACACTGAGAGAATAAACAGCTTATCCTGCCAACAACAAGAGGATACTGTGAGAAGCAAAGCAGGAAATCATTGTCATGTTGATCTATGAACACAGTCGAACCATACCATGTAGTGGAAAATCACGGTCAGTCTAAAGCACGAACCAGTCAGAGCTCAGAAAGCAATAAAGACGCTAAACTATATTGGATTGTAATTCAGTTTGTGTTGAGTCTTCATGTTAGACTCTCAGGTCATTCACACTTTGTTTGAAGCAGCGTCAGCCCGGACTTCTTCAGTGCCAAAGTATGTTTCTTTTTGTAAACAAAGTCAAAATCCACTATCTTTTTAAGTTCATGCTGTGACAGATTCAGCAATGCGGTGGGCACACCCTTATCTTTGTGTGTTGTAAAAAAAAAAATTAAAATCCATCCAGATCCCAGTGGCGACAGATGTACTATTGACTATCTAAAGGTAAACCCTGTCTTTAGTGTCTGAGCTTGTGAGGAACCAGTTTAACTGCTTCTGTTTAGGATCAAATTTCCTTTTTCCAAGAGCCTGTAATCCATGTCGTGACATCACTAAAGACATGTTTTTGAGATGTTCTAAGAGCCTCTCTTTAGTCCAATATGGTCAAAATAAACCACGTGGCCAAACAGGAAGAAACCCACCACTGCATTGTTTAAAACAGGATATATTACGTTAATGTGTAACTGAATTCGTACTAAAATGTTCTTTATAGCCACTCTGTTGTGCTAGATTTCTGACTTTAGAAACAGATTAAAAGATCAACTTTGTTCCAGAAGCAAAACTGTCAGCTTCCCAAGGGATTCTATTGGATTTTCTCTTTAAAATTGTGAAACACTGTTTTTCTCCAAATCATATCCTTCTTTGTTTCATTTTCCTGCTTCCCGTCTGCATGACAGAGTGGGATTATTAGTTCTCTTTTTTTAGCCAGAGTTATGACACGGTTCCCGTCTCAGTTTCCCTACTTGTAACTGACAATGACCCCACTGTCTGCTGCTAAACAACTCCTCTCACTCTCACGGTTTAACCCAGAAGCTCATCCTGGGCATCATCTGATTGGCCCAACCTAATCCAGAGCCATTGTGGCCTTTTCCATGGTAACAAGTCATATGTTCCTCCACAGCTAAACATGTCTGGACTTGAGGAGTGGCTCTCAGTAGAAGCTTTTCAAATAAAACCAGAACATAACGTTCATGTTGAGATTTCTCTTTTTTATTTTATTACAGATGTATTTTATTCAAATATTCATCTCATTGGACATTTTCACCTATAACCCAAATCAGTTTTGAAGTTCATTTTTAAGTTTGGGCACCTAGTAATATGTCAGTTTTTTAATAAGTTGGAGGAACAAAAAGATGGTGTTGCATAACAGATAGGAGGGTTTCTACCGCCATCACCCCTCACAGGTCCTTGTGTAAGCCCGAGTCGTGGCACAGCTCCCCCTGCTGTCTGTTTGCGCCGGCATGTATGTGTTGATGTGGTTGGCTTGCGGCCTCCTCTGTTCGCAGACGGTTTCCTCGGAATGACGACCATCTTTCCTCACTTTGTGTTTCCCTCGTTTCTGGAGTGGAGTGCATGTCGTAAAGCAAAACCATGTGCAGACCTCTCGCCTAAGGACCCAGCTCACTGTCTTTTATACCGTTTCAGCTCCTGTGGACTACATTATCAGGCTAAATCTTCTTAGCACTTTTTTGATGACCTTTAAATGCCTTCATTTTGTAAATCTCAGGTTAAATGCAGTTTTTTATTAGTTGACTTTTAAATGATTTACATTGTTTGCAGCTTTGTGGCCAGACTGCAGTTATTACTCAAAGGTAAAATTAAATAAGCCCTATTTAAGTGACATTTTAAATCAAATATCTGCTTGTCTTTATTGATTAGATAAGTAGATTTGGAGTAAAATGTAGCTTTACATATGATATTTTTATTATAAAGTGCTTGTAATTTAAAAATGAGTTGGATTATGATTGAGAAAGTCACAAGGACAAAGTCTGGCCATGCAGTTTGGTTTTACATATACCAAAAATGCATTAACTTTGGGGTTTCATGTGAAAATAGTTTTGAACAAACCCATTTCGATGTGGAGGAATGATATTTTGCAGCCTGCTGTCAGTTGTAAAAAGTTAAACATTTCTTTCAAAAACTCACCATTTATGCATTCATGTCACTGAAGTGAATAATGTCACCAGTTTTACCACTTTTTCTGTGATGATTCACTGCGTTCAGTCACCTGTTTTTAATACCCCAGTGATGATGTGAAAGTGAATATGGAAGGACGGTGTGTGTTTGCCCACAGACAGCAGAAAAGCTAACACGGTTTCATGCATGCCGCTCGCTCCTGGGTTTGCGGATGTGTGTGTTCAGCTGACAATCTGTGTTCGTGCTGGCACTAGGTGAAGGTGATGACGGAAAACGAACTGCTGGGTTTCGCCTGTGAACAGTTCCTGGGAAAGACCGTGATGGAGATCAAGAGCGTCATCCTGCAGACCCTGGAGGGTCACCTGCGCGCCATCCTTGGTGGGTACTTCCTGAAGCTGAGACGGCTGTTTTCTGTTTTGTTGCTGACGGTGTCTGAACCGCTTCATGTTTAGTCCTGTTTAAAACACAAACTGGATGGTGTCTTATCTGGACTTTATGCAATAAGCTAGCACAAAATCATGATTATCTCTGAAATGGATGGAATGGGATTTGTGGTTTTCAAAATGTTTCTTTTAAATAAATACATATTAAAAATGTGCAGTGTACTTTAGGGCTGAAGATGGATACATCATTAATATCAGTGTAGTAATAGTAATGATAAGATATATTGTCTGACACAATATTCAATCATTTCATTGAAGGCCGACACAGAACTACACAGCATTCTGGGGGATGTAGGCAGAGGAAAGACTGCAGGACTTTTTGGGGAGTGTGTTAATCAATGTATCGCATTAAAAGACAAAAATATCTGATGGATTGCTGTCACAAAATCTCCTTTAGGTTTTGATCTGGACACAAAATTCAAATTTAAAAAAGCAAAAATTACTTTGATTTTTTTTTTTATTAGTAGTATTTTTTGTTTGTTTTACCTGCTCAACAATAAACATTCTTTTAATGAAATCTGCATATCATTAAAGAGCCGAAACATTAAAACGACTTTGGACTTTTGAAAAACAGACAATTTCCAAATCTTTGGGATCGTCAATTGTTTTCTATTTTGTTTGGATCCATGTGGTTAAAATGTAGAAATTAATTTATAAAGCATCGTAGAGCCTATAGAGTTTATGCAAAAACGTAGAAAGATGGCAATAATCACTGACATTTTCTCTATGTATAAACTCAATACCTTCAGCGGCTCTGCAGCTCAGTAAGAAAAACAATCTTTGGTCATATTTTTTGCTAATGGAATAGTTTGGAGTTTTGAAATTTGGTTCTGTGCAGGAGTTATTGGCTGTAAGTAGCTTACCTGTAGTAGATAAAGGAGATAAATGGAGGATTCTCTGATTGAGACTCTCAACAAAGGGGATTCCAGCCAGTTATCACATTTAAGTTAAAGTGAAGGAACAATATTTTAAAATTCCTCAGCATTTTAGATTATCATTCAGTTTATTACTACCTTGAAATAATCTATTTTCTAGTGTAGATGGTTAAGTGTCCTAGTAAAAGGGTGGATAGTAAGTAAGTACATTTGATTTAAATAGCACCTTTCTCAGACAGCAGTCACAAAGTGCTTCACAGTAAAACCAAAACAAAACTGTAGAGGCAATAAGATACAAAGAAATACATTAAATCTAGGATCAGTTTTTGCTGCCAGAACATGTTTTCTGATTTAGTTTCTAGCGCAAATATAGTACAATTGAAGTAATTAAAACTAACTTACAGCTTGTTTTAAGTTTAAGGACGTTAACGATCCCTTTAATCTTCAGGTACCCTCACAGTTGAACAGATTTACCAGGACAGAGACAAGTTTGCGTCTCTGGTGAGGGAGGTGGCTGCTCCCGATGTCGGCCGAATGGGCATCGAGATCCTCAGCTTCACCATCAAGGTGTGCAGCAGGTTTATTGTTTGGTTTTGTTGAGATTTAATTCTACTTGCCATACCCATAGAATATTTTCACCACTTGCTGTTTTGCACGCCTGTGTTAATTTTCCCTGCTGACAGGATGTTTACGATAAAGTGGAATACCTGAGCTCCCTGGGGAAAACGCAGACGGCTGCAGTGCAGAGGGACGCAGACATCGGTGTGGCGGAGGCAGAGAGGGATGCAGGCATCAGGGTAAGATGAGCTTCAAGAAGAAGATGCGTTTCCCATCCGCTAATCGTCTTAATTTAGCCGTTTTTAATTTTTCTTCTTTTGCTTTCAGGAAGCCGAGTGTAAGAAACAAATGATGGACGTCAAGTTCGTCGCAGACACAAAGATGGCCGACTCCAAACGAGAGCTGGAGATGCAGAAAGCCTCCTTCAACCAGGAAGTGAACACAAAGGTATCCAGTTCGACACATTCTGCAAAATTCAAAAACAGACAAGTGAAATTCTAGATGTAGTTCCAAATAAAAAAAGATTATTCCTTGCAGAAAGCAGAGGCTCAGCTGGCGTATGAGCTGCAGGCGGCCAAGGAGCAGCAGAAGATCCGTCTGGAGGAGATCGAGATCGAGGTGGTGCAGAGGAAGAAGCAGATCACCATCGAGGAGAAGGAGATCGATCGAACCGAAAAGGAGCTCATTGCAACCGTGAGGAGACCTGCAGAGGCCGAAGCCTACAAGATGCAACAGCTGGCCGAGGGACAGAAGTACGATTCAGTTGGTTTTACACAGTCTGGAAATTAATGGAATAATTTTTTTTATCATATAAAAAACAAATTTTATATGATGTGAAACAATCATTTTTGCTTTTCTGACTGTGTTTAAAGTTGTCTTTGCTTAATCTAGGCTAATCTACACCAGTTTCTAGTGAAAATATCTTTGTACACGTAAACTAACTGGAGCCTCCCTCGAAACACTAACATACTCATTTGTACTGACACAGTTATATTTGGTTGCATGTACAGAGGTTGTTTGGCATACGGCAGAAGGCTGCCAAGTCCCTCGTGACCCATTTCTGCTTCTGGTGTCTCATCGCAGGATAAAGAGGGTGCTGACGGCGCAGGCGGAAGCTGAGAAGATCCGCTGCATTGGTGAGGCTGAAGCAGCTTCTATTGAAGCTGTGGGCAAAGCAGAGGCTGAGAAGATGAGGCTGAAGGCTGAAGCCTACCAGCAGTACGGAGAAGCTGCCAAGACGGCGCTGGTGCTGGACGCTCTACCTAAGGTCCGCGCTACACGCTTATTTACATCTGGGTTTCAGTCCGTCTTAACCCTCACCACATTTCTGTTCATGTGTTCTTTGGTCACTGCAGAAAGTCGACTTGTAAATTATATTTATTTCAATCTGTTATTTAGTATGTTTTGTTCATGTAACGTAGCCATTTCTGCTAATGTGGCATTAAATCTGAACTCCAATCAGTTCCATGTTGCATGAACAGATTGCTTTGTAAACTAACATTTAATGTAGAGATGAAGCGATTAATCGTAATCAATAGAATTTGGGAGAAATTGATTAATCGTTAACTGGAGCAGACAGACTCAAAAAAGGCCTTTTCCTGAAGAACAACATACTACAAGCAGTAATTAAGCTAAAACTGTCCAAAGATTTTACACATTTTGAAGTTTAGGTTAAGAAGGCCTTTGTCTGCAATTAAACTCTATTCCAAACTATGCCAGCTCTCACATGGCATTAATCAGTTAATCCAAAACATAATCTCCAGAATAATCAGTAACTGAATGAATGCATTTCCTGTTAACTTGGAGTGGAACATGTTGCTGTTTCTGTTCCATTCAAACGGATCCTTCTGATTCAGTCACCATCCAGTGGACGCTAGGCCAGTGCTTGAAGCTTTAATGTTTTTCTTGTGTGTTTTGCAGATCACCAGTAAGGTGGCTGCTCCTCTGGCCAAAACCAGCGAGATCGTCATCCTGAGTGGCGAAGGCAGCCGCGTGACCGGAGAGGTGAATCGACTTCTAGCTGAACTCCCCGTCTCCATCAACGCCCTCACCGGGGTAGATCTGACCAAGGTGAGTCATCCATGAGAGCTCACACGCCTTAACTCAACGTCTGTCTCAATGATTAGTCATTTATTTACCTTTTTTCTTACTGAAAGATGTTCCATTACGAGCTAAAACCATACAGGTTTGTGACCCATTTTCAAACTCAGATTTGTTTATTTTTGTATTTGATCAGATTGATCTGATTTCTGTTTTCTTATTCAAAATCACCCTGAGCATCATTCAGAATATTTCTTTCTAGCCTATGAATCTTGAACAGGTAAATGTTTACATTACAGGTTTGGAAAGTGCTTGATTTCAGTTATTGATCTGTGTGATAGAAATAATAGTTTATAGTTGAGGAATGTTTGTTAAATGTTGTTCTCGGACCAGTCAGCTGTGTGTGAGAGAGACATTTCAAAGTCTTTGTTTACCTAGACTGTAGAACACAATTCACATTAATAAGACATTGTTAATAACAGTACTGAATTATATTGAATAATAGGGAATTGTTAATTTGTCTGGTTTTTATCTCCAAAGTGCAGTGCTGGAAAAAGTTTGCAAACTTACCTTGAAACGTTCTTGATTTTTACTGTGGGAAAACGTGAATGATGGAAGAAGATCCATTTCCACCCTCCATATTTATTGCATTAATCCTTCTGATCCCACAGATCCCTCTGCTCCAGAAGATGACCGGCCCACAATGCCAAGCGGCTGTGTGATGTATGAGACAATAAGGCCTCAAGCATGAAGAGGCTTCTCAGTCAGATAATCCCTCGTTGCAACTGCCTTCAACCAGAAACACTTGACACCGACCAAGAGGTTTTTTTTTGTTTTCAGACTATTTCTAAGCGAATTTTAGTTTTGTATAGGAAAAAGAAATATTCGCATCAAGCTGTATCTTAGCTTGGTTTCAGTTCGTCCTTATCCTCCTTAGCTAAGATGCTACTGTTTATTCACTTCTACATGGTATCCAAAACAGAGCAGAGTGTGTTGCTTAAAGATCCAGAGATGTATTGTGTATTCCAGTCCAGATTAGGGGCAGATTCCTGCTGGAGTCAAAGACTTTCCAAGTCGGGCGTTGAGCCGCTGTTCCACCTCTGGAAGCTGTGCAGTGACGCAGCTGCTGCCTCTTCCTGTCTGTCGTTACAGATGAGTTCCTAACTCTGACTGATCTCTTCCTCTGAGTGTAGCTGTAAGAGGTGGATTTCTGAATCAGCTGTACGATGATCCTCACTGCAGTTTATCATGTTGCCCGTCTGTTTCCGATGTCCAGTGCCTGTTCAAACCTTCATGCACTAATTTGGATTTATGCCTGTCAAACATGGCTACAGTAAATCTGGTGTTTGTTTGTTTTTTTCTTTCACTTTTATCACTCGTTTGAACACATTTGTACCTGCGAAGCGAGAAGAAAGCCATACATAGCCTTAAAGGAGACCCTGGATCTCAGCTGGGGCTGTCGAAACCTTTTCTATTACCTCAAAACGTTAGGCTGATGTTTTATTTCTCCTCTCTGCTCGTCTTCCTTGTCCGCCCCCCCCTTTGAAGCGGCGTTCACATCATGAGTAATCACATCGTGAACCCCGCGCGCGTCCTCTTCCATCCACGCTGACAAAGCAGAAATTAAATGACACGAGTTGGAAAACAAGCATGTGATCAATTTGGCAACGCTTCACATGACATCTGTGCTTTGTTGCTCTTTTGATTGGTGGATCCGATGAATGACTGAGTTTGAGCAGCTGGACCCGTAACTATGAATTCTAGAGAAAAAGTTTTGGTATGAAGAAACGGAATATGAATCACCTCCAATCCCGTTCTTATTATTATGTCAGACCATAGCGATTGTGATATAATTTTCTGGTTTTAATACCGTAAAAATTATTAGTCAGGTTGATTTTTTTTTTTTTCCTTTTTTTTCCTGAAGGGTTGACTGATACAGAAAGGGAGGGTTGCTTGTAGTTGTTACATAATGTCAGAAATCTAAAACTTTGTAATCATCTGTGTTGTCCAGCATACTGTGAATGTTTGGCCTGCCTTTTATTATTGTCGTTTATTTTTATTTCTTAGTAAACAGCTGATAAACCACTTTGTAAGGAGCGTAACGACGACTTTCCGAGTCCGTGACCATAAACATTTTCTTACATTTTGCCTCTGAGTTTTATTTTTCATTTTTTTTCCCGTTTGTATTTTCTGTGAAGTTTTAAAACCCTTTCTTTTGTTTTTGTTTTCTAAAATGCTCTATGTGTTTTTTGTTGTTGTTTTTTTTACGCCTGAACAGATCCAGGAATCGCATTCGTCTGCTAGCTTGTCGCGTTATCGTCTGTCGTTTGTGTCGGCCAGTGCCGTTACTTTCAGCTGCTCCCAGGAAGTGAGTCATTCCGACCTGTCGGGGAGAACGGATCGCTTTCCCGTCAGTGAGATTCATTCAGAGACTCTGATGTCATTCGGCTGCACATTAAATAATTGGCAGCTCTCCCCCCTTCTTTCTCCGGGCACATTATGTTTCACAGGTTTCTAACAGTCACGCTTTTTATGTTAAAGGTTGTATAAAAAAATAAATAAATAAAAATACGTAGCTGTATTATAATCTCACCTATATTTGTCATAATTCTGAACTTTTGTGCAGCAATGACGCACATTTTCACTAAACAGAACCTCTTTGTGATACTTGTTTAAATTTAGGAAATTAGATTTCCTTAGTGCCTTTGTTAAAGTAACGAGCTCTGTGCAGATTATCACCTCAGAGACGTGACAGGATTTTTGTTAAAAATGTGCTTTCGCCTAATCTTGTAGATGAAAATGAAGTTGAATATATAGCTGAATTGTTATTAAATAAGTCTATATACATAAAAAGCTTTTATTTTGAAACTTTTGACCTCATCAGTTGTTTTGGCCATCATATTTGTGCCAAAGAATGCAAAATCATTTGACTAATCAGATGCAACTTCTTGTGACTTGGTGTAGCATTTGAGAAAGAAATAAAAACCACCAAAAACACATTTTCGACCTATGCCTTAACTCTCATCTATGTCTAGAACACGTCTGTTCTCTGTTGATGTTTTCATTCGGTTTTATTTCATGGCTTCTCATGTACCGATGGCTGTAAGGAGAAGCCACGCAGCATGGAGGATTAAGCATGTGTTCATGTTATTCTGTGTTGCCACTCTAATATAAAGTTATATCACCTTCAGTACGTCTCTGTGTTCAATTTCTCCTATGCACGTAAATAAAATGAATTGCATCATTTAGAAAATGGGCTAATAAAGCTAATATTGATCCTTCACAGGATAGCGCATTTATTTGAACCTAACAGAGCCGTCATAGCCAGTTCAGGCCAGTAGAGGTCACTGCAGGGATATTTTTTAACACTTTTCCAGCCGACGGAAGTGTAGGATGGAACCAGTAGTCTGTTATTTGAAGAGTTTCTAAGCGCGTTTTTTCCTTTTAAGTTAACTCACCAAACGGCTTATTTTGTCAGTTCTTCTTACTTTAATGTGAGTGGCGCTCAGACGATCCCCGTCAGTCTTGGACCACACTGAAATTGAATTTGAGCGCAAGCTTGGTATTTCTCAAAGTGGCATCAGCCGAAAATGAGGAAAAAATAAAATATATATATATTTTTCTGCTCAAAAACATAAAGGGAACACTCAAATAACACATCCTAGATCTGAATGAATGAAATATTCTCATTGAATACTTTGTTCTGTACAAAGTTGAATGTGCTGACAACAAAATCACACAAAAATCATCAATGGAAATCAAATTTATTAACCAATGGAGGCCTGGATTTGGAGCCACACACAAAATTAAAGTGAAATGTTCCCTTTATTTTTTTGAGCAGTATATAGATATATATATATCTATATACACACACATACTTTAAGAACTTACTCACATAATGCTTAATATCAATCCTCAAGCATTTTGAGGATTGACCAAAACCTTTGTTAGGAGTCATCTTGTTGGTGCATTATGCCGTTTTATGATTGACCATTCTTGTGATAATTGTAGCACTGAAAAAAAGGAAATCTGGTTACTTTTTGTCCGCTAAGGTAATGTAATCCAAAACAGTCGTGTCATGGTAGGAGAATAAAGCAGCTAAGTTCTGAAAATCTGGTAAACTGTTCCTCAACTTCACTTTGACCAAACTGTAAAATTAACAGTTTGTTGAGGAGCTTCTCCACCAACCAGAGTGTGCATCATTATGGATTAAAACCTTAACTCTTCAATACTTTTATTGTCAATGCACAGTAAGCGGCTCTTAACTGTGAAAGAAATTAAAAATATTCACATCTCATCCTGGTGGATGATGACAAGATCATAAAAGTACAAAATGCAAGAAGAGTCAGAAACAGGACACAAACCAACCACTGTTGGGATGTTTTATTTTTTTAGATTACATTTTTTTATTCAGCTTATTGATCCGGTATGCAGGCTAGAAATAGTTCTGAAAGTTTAGAAGCAGGACAATTTGTTCTGTCTGCCAAATGACAAAAAAGATCAAAGTTGTTGGTCGTAAATCAACATTTATTTTGAGATCCTCACAAACCAAGCTGACAAAAATTACGGCAGTTAAAACATATTTATGTAATAAGCGTTACAGCAGATTAAAAAGCTACACTTGGAAATAATTAAAAACAATAAGTTGGTTGTTGATGCTGTCTTTGTAATAAATATGAAATAAATACTGTTTTACAATATTAATTTGGGAAGAGGAAACGCTTGGGAACCGCTGACTCGGATGAGCCCTTTTTGAAATAATAATAAAAAAAATACATTTCTGTTTTCTGACAGTTTGTTTTACTCAACTGAACCTTTTTTTTAAACCAACTCAGGGATGTAAAACATAAGCGGTTTGCGTTTGTTTCATGAATATCGAAAACACCCAGAGTTCCCCTTCAGAGCAGCATTAAAATGTCCCGTCCTCCTCGCTAGTTGTATGCAGTTCTGTTCGGTCTTATCTCAGCTGATAAGAAGCTCATTTTTCAACACAAAAAAAATAAATAAAAAAATCTTCTTACTTTGCAGGACGTTTTCTAATCTGCTGTAAGAACCGTAATGAGCTGGCCTTAAGTTAATAACCTGATCTTGTGGAAGCAAACTGACGTGGGACATCAGCCCTGTGTACAGCTGCTGTTCAGACGTTACTCTGCTTGTTAATGAGATCTGTTGATGTGTCTCCAAACTCTTAATTAGTCTGTATTTAAAAAAAAAAAAAAAAGATCCAATATGAGTGTGGGAAAACGGTTTGCACCAAAAAGCTGGTTTTACATGTCTGACAGCTGCATCAGAAGTTTGATTACAACTAAATTATCACATCTTAAGTAAAATAAAACATTCTTGGCAATAAACTTCAACTATTTGTCTATTAATAACCCAGTTTTTTTTTGTTTTTTTTTTACATTTTCTCTTCCGAAGACCAAATGTAATTACTGCCGCATTCAAATCTACTTTTAATTAAATAATGTTTTCAAAGAAAGACTGACCTAAACCCTGATGTTACTGCTCAGAAATGAATGTTTTACATCTATCACGACTTCTCTTTCCAACAACAAATCTACTTGATTTGTTTAGTTAAAGTATTAACTAAACGCATGCTTAGTTTAATGCCTGCTTAGTTTAATGTTGAGTCGGTACATGTGTGTCAAACTCAAGGTCTGGGGGCCAAATCCGGCCTGCCATAGCTTAATATAAGGCCCACTAGCTTCTAAGCCTACATAAATATAACCTTCAAGGTAACAATTGTGCGTTGACACTGATATATTATTTTACCAATCAAAACAAAGCAGCTTTTATGTATTTAATGCCAAATTACATCAATGAGACAAGAAGTTCAGTGTTATTAAACTTTAAGAAGTACTTATCGATTGGAGAGACAGCTATCTATTCATATTGTAACAGTTTGTTTGTGGATTTTAATCATTATTTTCTACCACAAACGGCCGTTTGAGGATATTAATGATCTGCTACGGCCAAAAATGAAAATTAGTTTGACACCCTTTGGTGGAAAAAACATCTTTTGTGGCCCTCAAGTCTTTTTAACTTGCTGATTTTTGGTCCATGTGACTAAAAGTTCGGATTTAACATATTTAAAGTTTAACATTCAATGAAAGTGTCTTCTAATTATCACAGTCAGACAAGCAAAAACTTATCTGTCTTGCAGAAAGAGCAGCGGCTTCTCTGCTGCAGATAAAGCTTCTGGACGCCACGGAAACCACCCAGATAATCCGGCCTGTGTGTTTATCGGCCCCAGCAGGAGGGACAACACACACACACACACACCCTGACCAGGAGCCACCGCGTCCCACCTAACCCGGGCCCTTTCTGAGGAACACACACATCATTACCAGAGTAAATTACTGGATTTTTGTCTCAACCGTACAGGAGAGGAAGTGTGATAAATGACACTGACCTTAGAGGAGCGCATTAAGAATACGGAGGGTATTTCCATATTAATGACTCGGCTTCAGAGGAGGGGGGCATTCATCAGTGCCGCTTGAAAAGTCAGTATACCTGGACAAAACCCCCTCCCTGTTCCGCTAAATCACCCCGAAGCCGTTTCAGCTAGCAGCTCCAACAAAACTTTCTCCAGCCTGAATCCTGTTGTCGGTTTATTGGCGGAGCGGAGCTGAAAACCTTCAAGTCAGACGACTTGATTCCTCCAGAAGGAAGAAGAAAAAGAAGAAGAATTAGGGAAAAAACGGTTTATTTTTAAACGCACGTGGACAAACTGTAGGGGATTAAAGAGAAAACGCAGCAGGAAACGCACTCCATCACAGCTCAGCCGTGATTTGACGCAGCGAACGTGACGAGGGTGAGAACGCGTTCCTCCTC